TGTATGATAACTGAACAATAAATACTACATATGTTAACAGGATGTTATTATGTATAATGCATTGTGGAATAGCAGTAGAATCAGTATCTTAAATGGTATGGGAGAGCGTTAAGAAAACACTTTTGAAAGTGAGGAATAACACAGATTGATGGCTGATGTTGTTATTAATTATTTTTATCAAAATTTGTATCAGCTGGAAAAAGAGTAGTTAAGGATTTTCAATAGGAAGCTACCACATTCCCTAGCCATAGTTTTTGGTTAAAATCTGAGTAATGAATATCTCCAGAAACTCTTTCACAAACATTTGTGTATCTCATCTGTCCCAAAGGAAATCTTGGCTTTGTTTTAATAATTGAAATCAGTGGTTCTAGTCTGAACAGCCTTACTGAAAATCTAATATTGCCAAAGAAAGCTGAAAAAAAACCCTATAAGCTGGTACCCTTATAATTTTTTTGAATTACCAGCATGACATACCTTTGACAGCATAGCAGCAAGTCTCTTTAGAGTCTGGCTTCATAAATCACAAGTTTCCCTTTATTTTAGTTGGAGGAAGTAAATTAAAAATAAAAAATTAGTTTTTTGGGGTTTCAGGTACAATTTTGATGGTTTTATTCAATTCACCCAACTTCTAAATATGTTTTATTTAAAATCATTAGCTAGTTCTTAAACATTAAAATAGCTAGGAAATAGCTTTTTCGGATCTCTAAATGTCCATTTTGTTTCATCCTTACTCTAGCTTGCTGTTCATTGACTAAATTTCCTATATTCTATAATTTATATCTGATACAGCTCATAAATGAAGTTTTTATGTAAATGTACCATACATGTACATATAGGCAATTATTTTAAAATATACTTTATTGAAAATGAACCAGACATTTGATTTGAAGATCAGTTGGTCTAAATGTATATCACCCCTTGAAATAGCCACAAAATTTGTTGCAATTTGAAAGGTCAATGGGAAAAATCCTTAAATTCTCAGTTGAACAGCTTTTAACTTCAAAAACTGAGGACTTCATCTTCTCATCAGTGTTAATTGGTTTCATACAGCCTTTCATAGCTAGAAGGGGAAACTGTTACCTTTTTTAGGCAGGTTACTTTTATTTTAGAGGTACAGAAAATATTAGAAAGCAAATGAATTATCTGGACATGGTGGCTCACAGCTACAATCCCAGCTATTTGGGAAGCATAGATCAGGAAGAATCATGGTTGGAGGCCAGTCCAGGCAAAAAATTAGGAACACCCCATCTCAACAAACAAGCCAGTCATTGGGGTGTATATCTGTGATCCCAGCTATACAGAGGGTGTAGGCAGGAGGATCATGGTCTGAAGACAGCCCTACAACAAAAATGTGAGACCTAAACTGAGAAATATCTAAAGCAAGGAAAGGTCTGGGTGCAGTACTCAAGAAATGAGTACCTGCCTGGTAAAAGTTTGAGACTCTGAGTTCAACCTCAATATAACTAACTAAATAAATTGAAACAAGTGAACTTAGCATGGACCAGTATTTTATTTTGCTTCTTTTGTCTTAAGATGTATAGTATTTGTAATGCATGATACCTTTGCCATAGTGTTGAGCTAATCCTATCAAAGTTTTCTTGAATGGAGTCTAAGGAGTATTGAATATAGATTTTATAGAGTGGTCTGCTTGTCAACTGGACAGCTCTGAAAGCAAGATCTCAGCAGGCAGCAAATGCAGGGGTCAGAGGACAGTGGTGTAAGCAGTGAGGTAGAGTGGTATTTTTCCTTGGTGATGTGGCAAACACAGAATGAGGGGTAAGCAGCAGGCCTCTGTCACACTATTGAGGGTGACATGCCTTGTCTCTGGGTTTTGCTATGTCAGTTTTTGACCAATGCTTTTGCTCCACTTCATATATCACAATGATAGAGATGCTCTTGTTATTGCCCTGCAGAATAAATATGGCCACACAGAGAATTTTACTAACTTCCATGGGCCACACAGCTAATGAGTAACAAAGTTGCTATTTGAACCAAACTTTGTATAACTGTGGCAATAGGTACAACTTGTATGCCCAAAAAAACTGAGTAAAAACATCCCTTTATGGTTTTTTTTGTATTAATCCTAGCAGCCCAATTAAGGATAAATTTCTAGATGAGTTGAAGTAGTAGCTTCTATATAAAAAATCCAGCTATGTGAGGTCTAGGTACTGACTGAATTTGTTTTCTGGCTTTTGGAATATAATTTCATTGTACAAATTTCAGGATGCCAAATACAGTAAATGTGCACACAAATTTCCTTTCTTCCCTGGTCACACTTGCAGCCGTCTGTTACCTTGTCTTCTTTTATTGTGGCAAGCTTTATCATATATTTAAATTGTTGGCCTATGAATAAAGGCATCATGAGGTCAGTATAACTTGGTATTAAATTCAGTTATTATTCTGTTATCTTCATTGTAACCAGAATAGAGTTAGAATAAATATCCATCTGTTCATTTCTGCCCAGGCTTACTGAGGTGTGGTGCTGGGAACTCGGAGATAGTTGAAGCTGGTGAAGTACAATGTCATAGTTACCTTTTCTCAAAGGGAAGTCTGCTGCTGCTAGATTTCTTCAGGATGCTTATTTGAACTTATTCTTCACTTTTTGACTTGTGAAATCACAATTACTCACCAGTAGAGTCAACACTAAACAAGTTTTGAACTTCCTAAGGAGCAAAATTTATCTCATATCACTTGGAAAATTTAGTCTGTTTTTTCTGCATGCCATGTTCATGCAGATGCATGTGCCTTTGCACAGATGTTTTTCTGCTATGCCACAGTCTCCTGAAATGCTGATTAAAATGCAAATCCATGGACAGCAGACCTATGGCTACAGACCCTGGAGGAGAGGCTTGGTAGTCTGTGTGCTTTTCCACAAAATGAGCTGATTCTTGGGAACACAGCTTTTTGAGAGTGAGGGCCCAATTTGGTGAAATCAGGCTGGGCATAGAAATATAAGATAAGAAATGTGGCAGAATGGCACTTTTTTCCTGAGTAGATGGTAGTAAATTCAGAAAACTCTATTAAACCCTTCAAGATGCACTGACACAGAATAAATAGTAAATACATAAGCTCCCTTTCTTTTTTTTTTTTGTTTGATCCAAGTGAATTGACACTAACTGAATCCTCTAGCTGTATACATCCCTGCTTATCTGCATTTAAATAAATCCAGTTTTAGGAAGAAACAGGATGTGGAGATATTGAGAACCAGAATTTCTCTTAAGAGCCACGTAGTCCTTTATACTGAAGTGACAGGCTTTCTCTAGGAAACTTCCATTAGATAGCCCTGAACTCAGCTCATGTGTCATTACTGACTTACTTATTTTGGCCAGCCATACTTTGTGATTTATGTTGTTATTCTGAATTGTTTTTGTTTTGTACTGAGATGTCTTTAAGCTAATAATGTTCCTGTGATCTTGACATATGTCAAGCATGGTGATTTTATATGGAATATATAGATATATATAATGTTGATGGAATTGTGTGCTTATATTAATAGCCATAATTAATTGATATTTTAGATATTTCCTTCATGTCAGTGTTTTTTTCCCTTTGGTTTGATATGCAATTTAGATTGTCATAGGAGTGATGCAGGTTTTTTGTTTTCCTTTTTTTTGGTGGTGCTGGGGTTTGAACTCAGGGTTCGCGCTTGCTAGGTATGTGCTCTACGACTTGATCCATGCTACCAGCCCATGATGTAGGTTTTACAGCAGTGTTGAACTAGACAAAGCCTGAGACTTAAAGAAGTTAATGTTCTGTGCCATCTGCGCAGGCAGCTGATGAGGGAGAGAGGTATGCATCTATCTTAGGTCTTGAGACCCATAAGATCCTGCTCCCAACCACCTTTCCTGCCTCCTGTTTTCAAGTATTACACAAAACTTTTCAAAACAACAGGCAATCTCCTATGATATTAGGCCAGGGTACAGACTTATTCCTAAAAATATTAACATAAAAGAGCCAAAATAGAGCATTCAAAGTAGAATTGTGACAGATTTTATCACAAACATAATCATCAGTTTTCTGAGTCAGTTTATAGTACAAAGACAAATTAAGCTAAATTGGTTTTTCTGTTAAAAAACAAAAAGAAAGCTAAGGAAGGTGAGTTGTTGACAGTCTTTCTTCTACCCTTGCAAATTGTTCTGATTAGGTTTAATAATGAAAGGCATTGTTAATGAGTTCTGTTACTGTCAATATGATTTGAAATAATACAAGTAGAGTCTTTTACTCAATATTGCATATGCCAGACTTTAAGATATGTGCATTGATGAAAAGAATCATTCCACAAGGAAGGTATATTCAAATTTTTTACCTTACACCAATTAATTTTTTTTCTTCATTTTACATTGTTAATTACTGAGAGGGTACATATGTCCATTTCTGATTATTTTTTAATTTTTTTGGGTGGTAGAGAGTAGATTTACCTTTGAAAGGTTAAAGGCTCCATATTTACCAGTATTTCATTGTACTTACAATCTCTGTATACAGTGGGAACACATGGGAGTTTTCATTTCAGCCTCCTGAGTGAATGGGTTTACAGAACTTAGTAGCAATTTTAATTTTATCTGTTATAAGGTACTTGAAAAGGTGTTTTACTAAAGATACAATGTGCCTTGAGTCTTGAAACTCATTTCTTAAGATCTCAATACATGTAAAAACAGGCGATAAAACTTTCTGAGTCTTTTGAATTCATTGAAGTTAACCAGGAAAATATTGTGTAGGAGCCTAACATTCTTTATTTAATATTCAGTGTTTTTAACCCTGAAAATAGAAATATTAATGCTAAGATTGCTAAAGTAAGTACTTTAATCTTTTAAATGTTTTCAAATGTTTTCTCCTTCATTTTGATAACGCATTCATATGAGTATATTACTTATTCTAAATGTCTGAGAAAATGAAGAATACTCTGAAAAGCCTGTGATAGATTTGATAGATTTAAGTGGATGATTTGTATTACAATTTTATATCCTTTTTAAAGATGATATTTGCTGCTTTTGTCTGTTTAGGGTCGTTGCTCCAGGGAGAACTGCAAATATCTTCATCCACCCCCGCACTTAAAAACGCAGTTGGGAGATCAATGGGCGCAATAACCTGATCCAGCAGAAGAATATGGCCATGCTGGCCCAGCAAATGCAGCTGGCCAGCGCCATGGTGCCCGGTGCCCCATTGCAGCCCGTGGTGAGTCTCTTCTCACTGCATTTGTAACGCTGCTCAGTGGCAGGGCCGTGGTAATGACTGTACTGGGCCAGTGAACATAGCTAACAGTGCCAGCTGTCTTTCTCTTTCTAGAATAAAATAATGATCAGTCAAACCACGGAATAATTTTACACTGTGAAGTGACTTACCTCTAGCTAAACCATTCTGGCAAATTTGCATTATCACATTTCTTTCCCTAAAATTCTCTTCAAAATAAATCCTGTCACTTGCCATTCTTAACATGGTTTTTGTTAAAATGATTGTCAAACTAATTAGTGTAGTTAATATGCATTTTAGGCTACCTTTAAAGTTAATATTAACTTTTTAAAACCGGCATATATGGTCTTTAATTTTGAGAACATTTCTCCCTTTCCTCCCTCCTTAAAGAGGGAGGAAATCTCGCAAAGGAGATTTTGTGAAATTTTGAAATTATTTTATAGTCACAAATGCCGAGCAGCTTCTGGTAATGGTTAATCAGTACTTACAATGAAGTCTTAGAAGTCTCATTGGAGGAGAACTATCCAGAAGGTAGAAGCTCCACAGGCTTTTACAGAAAGCTACATCTGATAAGCTCTGACAGGGTACAGATGTGTAATGTTTACCTCACAGTGTGCGGGGTAACTCTTGCTTATGAATACACATTGAATTTTTATGTCCATGTGATAAATGACTTTAACAATATTCTTTTTATCATAATTAATATTAGTTTGAAAAAGTTGTTTTATTTTGTGATGTAGTAATTGTATATTCAAATTTAAATACATGATAAATGTTGCAGTGATCAGAATATATCTGTGAATAATTTGCCACTAACTTTTATGCAACATTGTGCAGTTACGGGAATATGAAGATCCACATTTTTCCTGTATGCTAATTGAACATGTATGCTAATTTTTTTCCTCATATATTTTAACAACTGAACTCAATGCAATTATTATTTTCTCTTAGAACTTTATGCAACAGTCATTCCAAAAAAGAGGGGGGGATTGCATTTCGAGGTGGGAGGGAGCACCATGTTACATCGGCAGTGATACCAATTATCAATACTGTACAGTTGAGGTGAGAGAATATTACAATTAATTCTATGTCTGCTTTAACCTGAACTTTTATTTTATTCCATTATTGGGGGCTCAGTTAAAAATGTTACTCTTAAAATTTATTTTTATGGCTTCCACTAACTTTTACATGTCTGTTGGGATAGCATAAAGTTTCCCATTTGGTTAAAAAACTTTAGTAACAGTCATTCTTTCTAACAGAAAATAGAGCTCCAAAAGTCTCTTGCACTTGGCCCTCACATACAGTTTCAAAGACCTGGGGTAGCTACTACCTTAGTTCATATAAACTCTCTCCTTGATGTGAGCTACTTTGTTCCACTTACACATTTAAAGCATACTTACTGCTAGGCTGTGCCCTCTCTGTAACCCAGAGCAATTGTGGATCAATAAGTGTGGTTCTGGGATTGAAGAGAATAGTACTGGTCATGGCATTGAGTTACTGTGTGTGAAGCCTCAGCCCATCTCCTGACCTCATCCTCAAGTGTGACTCTCAAGGCTGTTCCAGGGTTGTCATATGCACAGCTCTGGGACAAACTATAAATGAATGATATTCATGCTCTTTGAAATGCTCTAACAAATGTCTTATTTATACACTCACTAAATCACAGATTTCTGAAACCAACAGAGCACTAGCTCTATTTTCTGATGCTTTTAAAAGAAAATTGTTTAGACAAAGTTATTATTATTATTATTATTATTTTAGTTTTTAGCACATTGAGGCTTTATGTTAATTTTTGGAGATATGACTAGTAGAATTACCTTTCTGCTAAAGGGATTCTGAGATCATAGTCTAAAAATATACTCTATTCAGAGTGACATTGTTATAATAAGTATAGATATAATTTTACCTACTCAATTTTAAAGCATTTGGGATTGTAGAGAAGGCTTTATCCAGGAGATTTGCCTTCAAAACCCACCTGAGACTTTCTGATCCTTTTTGTAGTCAGCCCTGTTTTGATGAGGATAATGACATGGAGATTCAGAAATAAATGGGATGGTCATAAGCAGCTGCTCACTGGGACTTTTAATGTGGACCTCCAATTGGGGATTATAACAGAGCTAGAAGCAGCCAGGTGACTGACTAACAGGGAAAGAGACTGTCCATTAGGACAGATGGGGGTGTTTGAAGACAGGGTCCTAGCTTGATTCCCAGCCAGGTAATAGCAGTGTCAAAGCAGAGCCATAACAATAGGAGTATCAGGAGTTCACAAACAGGCTTGTCATGGTTCTCTAGAACCAAATAGTTTCTTACCTAATCCTATTAGGAAGAATGGGGAGGGGTAGTAGGTGGGGTGGCAAAATCTAAGAAAATTTAAAAGCATCCAGAATTATGCCTATTATGTGGAAATCTATGATTGCTTGATGAATGAACAAATGAAGGATTGAGTTTCCCAAACACCAGAAAAACAGGCAGAGGTTCATAGTTTGCCTCCCCAAAGACCATAGGAGTCATAAATAGCAACCAGAGCACAAGCCCAGTTATAGAGACTGCAATACAGAATGAGGCATAGCAATAGATACATACTCGCTGGCCATTTCAAAGGCAGTCAGTGAGAGTACTGTTGGCACCAAGAAATATTTATTACACCATCCCAATTTGGGTTCTCAGTTCCTCACAAATTGTAAGACATTGGGTCAATAAATTTAAGATCAGAACATGACACTGGACTAACTTGGTTAATGAGGAATTTAAATGCCAGTTTCTTGCTTTCATAGTCTTTGTTTGCCAGGCAGTACACCAAGCCAATATATAATGCTTTCAGGAAATTTACTGTACTCAGCACTTTTGTATATTAGATTCTCTCACTATCCTATGAAATAGTAACCCTATTTCAAGTTTAGAGACAAAGGCTCAGAGGTTCACATAGGTTAATTTGCTCAGGTTACACAGCTGGTGGTTAGCAAAGCCAAGATTTTAACCCAACCTGTCCAGGTTCTAGTATTCATGCTGTGGAAACATATATTGGAGACAGACTACCTTGTAACTCTGGGTCTTTGGATGGCTCTCACCGTCTTCAACATGGATTGAAATTTTTAAAATATCTATAAGGTCCTAACAGTTTTATAATCATAATTATTCCCATTTCATAAGATGAGAAAAAGTAACTGAAAATAAGTAATTGAATTTATTTGCATGTCTACTTCCTAAAAATTGATGTTACAGAATTATTAGCATTGGGTCTACTGTCATTTATAAACTTCGAATAAAATGTAAAAAGATTATGTTTGTCTGTTTATCATATGATCTTTGAAGATATTGATGAGTAGAGCATTTATTTCCTAAATTTAAACAAAAAAGTTCTGGATTCCCTTTGTGTGACTTTATTGTTGTTATTACTGTCATTACTTTGCTACATACTGGTCAAGGTATTCTAATGAGAAATTAGCACACAATTTAACCAACCATAAACTGCATCAAAGGGCTTACCTGGAGGCACCTGCTATAAGTCTTCATTCCCCAGGAAGGTGTACATTAGAAATTCTGTTCATTTCAGGCACTCTACCTTGCCCTCAAAGAGGTCTGCATATGCAGAGGTTATGAAAACTAGACGATGAACTCTGGAGTTCCTTTAACGATGGGCTCAGCTGCCTTTTCTTGGATTCCAAAGGTTGGCAGTGGCTGTCCATAATTTCTTATAGCAGCTGTCCTTCAGGGACTCATGCCTGGCCACCTTGAAACACATGACTGGTTCAGAAATCCCTATGCATTTCATGAATTTAAAATGCACAGCATAGAGATTTGAAGTTATTGAATTCAGGTAGTCTCAGGAGCTTTCTTACTGCTTTTATCACCTCAGCTTTGCTGTCCTGTCATCATTTGTCAAACTTCCAGGAGCACTTAGAATTCCCCAATTGTTTTTTAGTGTTTTACTTTCTAGATTATCCTCCTTGTGGTGGAGGTGAGGCCACTTCATCCCGGTGCATTTCTGGCAAAAGTGTTTCCTCATCAGTCACTCTGAGTTGTCATGCAGCCATCCTGCTGTTCTTACTGCCCCTTTCAATTGAGGAGGCTGTAAACCTTCAAGCAGCCTGAGAACAGGTCTGAGTTTATAAGAACTGAGCCATGTTTGGCTGACACCTGTCTACTGGTAGACCTAAAAGTGAGCCATCTTTATTTAAATGTTTGCTGTTTTAGGAAGGCTGGATTGAAGGGTAAAGTATAACTAGAATAAAACAAGCACTTTTTTGATTTGTCCATTCACAAGTTAACCTAGGAGGAGAGTTTGTAACCACAACCTTATATTTTTCCAGTCACATGCTACCTTCTTAGAAAAAAAGAATTTTTACCTGAATTTTTTGATAATTCCCATTAGCTTTTGGTCCTCCTTATACTCAAAAATAATTGTGGGCTAAGACTAGTTATAGCTCTGAATTGCTTGTGGGTACCCAGAAACAGTTTCATACCCCTAGAATGTGTGCTATAAATATTTTTTAAAAGCCTTTATTTTTTACTGCTTGCAAGTTTGATCTACACATACACACACACACACACACACACACACACACACACGAAATCCAGAAAAATCTCACTTTAAAAATTTCTCTTCCATAAACCTCAAGTGATACTGATTATATGCAATTCATTATATATGTTTTTATAAAGAATTTAAGATTTGCAAATGTTTATAAAACAAAGCTGTTCCATGGTGTTTTAAAATAAATAATCCACCTGATATTTGTAGCATTACAGCATAATAACTACATTAGTGTAACTTAGAAAGTTTAATACAAAAATTGCAAAGCAAAAAAATTAAATTTCAAATAGCTATGGTAAAGGATAGTATTAAATTTGGGAGTAAAGAGGGAAATATAATTGTCTCTTTTTAACATTCATATATCTAGAAAATATTCCATGCATTTGCTAGTTACTGTGCAAATCCATATGTGCTAGGCAACAATTGAAGAGGCCTTGCATAGAGGCCAGTTGTAGGTTGTGTCCAAAGCACAGGGCAACAGATTGCCCTCTGTGGTCTGTAGTCAAGTTACAGCAGAGGAGAGACACATGAAACAGGTGGCTGTGGGTAATGCTGCATCACACTGTGATGGGGAGTGGTTGCAGACCCACAAAGGAGAAGCCTCTGCATTCTTGGTGGTATGTGCAGAAGCTTTAAGAGGAAGAGTCCTGGTTCTTAAAGCAGAAGTAGAAATAAAACCAGTGTACTGGTCAGAGATAGCATTTAATGTGTAGGAAAACCCTTATTCACATTTCCTTAGAGATCTTACATAGAACCAGAGAGGAAAACCTACTTCTGTACAATGCCACCAGACACCTTTTCCTGGGTTCTGATGAGGAGGAGTGGCCAGGCACTCACAGGTTAAAAGTCCTCCAGGTGATTTGTGTGTGTGTGTATTTCGTTTTCCTTTTTTTAAATTATTGTTGTGTTGGGGGTACATTGTGAAATTTACAAAAGTTCTTACAATATATCACAGTTGAATTTATCCCCTCCATCATTCTCTGCAGGTGATTTTAAAAGTGAGAATTACTGTTTCAGAAAAACATTTGGAATTAGACTCACATGTGTACAACCTTAGGTCTCCATTCACTTCTTTGTGAGTGTTGCCACATAATCTTTAATGAGCTTTTAACTTGCAAAATGGATATAATAATACCCCCCACAAAGCTGTAATTCATTTACTCATTCACTCATTCATTCCCTCAACAAATTTTCACTGAGGTCTATTGTGTGCCAGGCATTGTTCTGTGTTTTTTGTTGGAATTTAAGCAGGAAAAAATAGATCCCTTTCCCATTCCCTTATGTCTTTATTCCCCAAAAAACAGAAAAGAAAGAAAAAGAAAAAGAATAGATTGCCCAAGGGATTTTGTTTAGAAAGATTAAGTAAGCACAGACCACAAGGTAAAAAGCACAAGTGCAATGCTGGGAGACAAGCAAAATTGAGGGAAGTACTTGGTGATGAGTTCATGTTTTTGTAGTTAACTAGGGTCATAAGGAAAAACTGAATAATATTTTCATTTATTACCCTAATGGAAGCAGAATGTCTCATTTAAAGCAAGCAAGTGATTAACCCATAAACAGATAAGAATTAGTAAATTTGTAATTTGTTTTTCTCTGCTGAGGAAGCTCACTGGGAAAAGGCAATCCTCAAACGCTTGTTCCTTCTGGGAACAAAGATACCTGTAGATTATTTTCACAAGGATGTAGGTCATTATCAAATATGCCAGTTGCATAGTTACACATTATCCGATGGGTACTTCAGAGAAAATAGGGTGCCACTTGATAATAGCAATCTGTGAGATTCCATGCCCTGCAGGATAGCTGAAGCCAACTGAAGAACTGGCTGGAGGTGGAGCAGTTCAAGTGCTCTCCTGATCTGATTAGGGTGATCTGGAAGGGCTAGCAGTAACCCACTTCCTCCAAGGTTGTCTTTGAAAAAGCAATGTTAGCTAGATGTCAGTGGCTCTCATCTATAAACCTAACTACTTGGGAGGCTGAGATCTGGAGGATCATGTTTCAAGGCCAGCCTGGGCAAATAGTTCACCAGACCCCCCCCCATCTCCAAAATATCCAGAGCAAATGGGATTGGAGGGGTAGCTCAGTGGTATAAGGTTCGTGCAATATACCCTTCAGGTTTTGTTTATTAGCTCAGGTTCACCCAAAAAGAAAAAAGAAAATACAATATAACTAAAGTAATTTATATAGATTGAAACGAATTGAAGGAGTGTTAAAGTACTTTTTGGTTTTTGCACCTTTTGGTATCAAGTTTTAAAGTATAGTGCTTTTGTTACCAGATGTCTATATGGCCAGCAAATAGCTCTACTTAACCAGAGAGGGAACAATTTGAGATAATGCTTGCCAAATAGATGATGTTTCAGATTTTTTTTTAAGCTGCTGGCAGACTTTACTTGGGGACCAATACTCTAAAATGCTCCAGATTTGAATTTGCTCTGCTGAATTAAGTTAGAAATTCAATTTACATCATGACTCTATACATAAACAATTCAGAGAGAAGACTGTTGCCAGTTAATAGGGTCAATATTTTATATAATAAAAATATTATTTCACTTGTAATTTGCTACAGCTATATTATATGCATTTGTAGATTTTCAGTATATTTGAGGAGATTTAATGAAACTGAATTTTATTGGTCTTATTTTATTAAAATAAGAATGCTTTTTTTCCTTCTCGTTTGCAAATTGACCTTGCTTTTAAGTAATTATCATAGTTTGTGTACAGTGACATAAACATCTCAGTTTTCCGAAGTGAACCCCAGAATGTATTATCTGGAAAAGCAATGGGAGGTGAAAAAGAATGATAATAACTAGGTTCCATTCTCAAGTCTTTTATTTCTCTTTGCTAAATTTCTTACAGTTCTTTAATAGAAATTAGAGTGCTAGTTTGACTGGATTTTCATATACTGTATCTGATAGTGTATAGCAGTACAAATTTGACCTGAATATTCTTGAATAAACATATATTCCCTGTACAGGTCAACCTGTGTCTCCTCTGCCATTGGACAGTGGAGCAGCATTAAATCAGCTGTGGTGCACAGAGATGACTTTGGGTCCAGTTTCCTGTTGCCTGGGGGCTGGGATGGTTTAGTGGTTGGAGGGAGGTTTCACGTTAGGTCCCTGCATCAGGCCAGAGCCATCTACCTGGCAGAGCAGCTGAAGATGGAATTCATATCGATATGTTTGAAGGGCTAATTAGTTTAACCTGAAAATATCAGTGTAATCTGTGGCACATTCTCTCTTTTTCACATTTATCTTAGTAAAAATGTGCAATGTTTGACCCAAAACACTTGGTGAGGCCAAGAGAGTTGTGAATCCTCTGGGACAGTTGTGAACCTTGGCACAATTTGCTTTTGGGGCTGGGTAAGTCTTTGTTGTGAGGGAGTTGTCCTGTGTGTTACAGGACACTTAGCAGTATCTCTGCTCATGAAGTGCAATACCACCACACCACTGTGACAGCCAAAAGTGTCTTCAGACATTGCTAACTGCCTCCTGAGAGGCATAATCACCCAGAGATTAGGACCACTGCTCTAGGAAGAAGGGAATATTCAAACTCCTTTTTATTCTCCCAATACAGGATGAGTCAGAGTCAGGCTGAAAAAAGGATATATTTTAATTTATTATATTTATTTTGTACTATGAGTCACTTTTGTATTATATACCTAATATGGCATAAAGCTTTACTACAAAGCTTTCTTGATTACGACCTATGCTTTGGCATCACCTAACTTCTTAATTCTGTCTGAGGAAAGAATTAGCTACATTCGAATCTAATCTCTTGTCGCTTTCATTCTAAAAACATTGTATGAGTGTATTTCTCACCACCAGATAAAGAAAATAAATTGTTAAGGCTCACACCTATAATCCTAGCTATTTATGAGGCAGACATCAGGAGGATTGCAGTTCAAGGCTAGCCCAGGCAAATAGTTCAGGAGACCCTACCTTGAAAATAACTCAACACAAAAAAGGTTTGGGCAGAGTGGCTCAAGTGGTAGAGCACCTGCCTAGTTAAGCATAAAGCTCTGACTTCAAACCTCAGTACCACACACACACACAAAAAAAAATTACCTTAAAGTACAGGATCAATTTTGTCATGAGTTTTTTGTTTTTCGCAGACAAACATTATTGTTACAGAAAGCATTAAACTTTAAGAATCGAAACACTGTTGAAAATATACAATCAGTAAGATAGGAAATTGTGTTCTATTGCACTGGACAAACAAATCGTTAAAGTGGATATCATGTAGATTATTTAAATCTGTTAAAGAAAAAGTGTATTTCACAACATGCAAATTTACATGTCAACAGATAGAAACAATATATATTCATCAAAGCATTTCTGACAAATTTTGTCTTGCAGTGATTTATTTAGTACTGTCATAGGTATTTACTTGAAACGTTCTATAGCATTTCTTTGGAAATGATCTGTTTTCAGATTTTACATTTCATGCTTTTTTTTCCTTCCTAGTGCAATAAATGCACCGTTGAATGTCTCACGCGGATGTGATTGGTTTGGAGAACATTTACAAATTCTTCTGAAAAAAAAATAGCATCAAATAATTATGTCAGACACTTTCTCTTATGTGCTCAAAAGACATGGCACCTTTCACACGCTGTGGCATTTATTAACAATTTGCATTGATTGTGAAACTCTGTCATCCTCTGGGAGTTCTGCTGTGCTTACCCAGATAGTAGAACACTTTCAGCCAGTTAGCATCATAAACGGATTTTTAAGGCACACTAACATGGCGATCATGAAATTTATTTCTTGGACAAGTTTCTAGGATTTAGTTAGGAAAAAGATGGAGACTAGGGGACCACAAAAGTTTTCCACATTAAGTCATTGATGTGTCACTTAAACGGAAATCCCAAGTATTACAAAGACCCCAGACTTGTAAAGCCCTGTGGAGAACGTAATGGGTATTTTAACTATTGTATTGTAGAAGAAAACCATTTATTTGATGAATGCTTACTTGCTAAAATATCTTTATATTAAATTAGAGTAAATTAACATAGGATGAAAGGGAATGAAGGAAGACTGGATCATGAATGAATGGATGTTTAATAAATGTTTAATATAGGATATCAACTTTGAGCAGAGGTCTGCCTATTAAATTTTGCTTTCTATTTTACTTTTCAGCCAATGTTTTCAGTTGCACCAAGCTTAGCCACCAATGCATCAGCAGCCTTTAATCCCTATCTGGGACCTGTCTCCCCAAGTCTGGTTCCAGCAGAGATCTTGCCGACTGCACCCATGTTGGTTACAGGAAATCCTGGAGTTCCTGTGCCTGCAGCCGCTGCAGCTGCTGCACAGAAATTAATGCGGACAGACAGACTTGAGGTAGGAATGATTCATTGGTTTCTTTATGCATTCTTTTCTAATTCTCAAGTGTTTCCATGGCCAAAATGGGTTAAAAATTCAAAGCAAAGATCTGGCCTAATTTATTTGATGTGACTATATTATTTATAAAAGCTAAAACACCCAAGTATAGAATAGTAGATGAGAGCTTGAACTCTGGGGACAGAGTGCCTGTTATTTCATGATGCTTCAGTTTCCTCATCTTTAAATGGTGACAATAATGGCACTTACCCCAGAGTTAAAGAAATGTCTGGCACAGAGCAAGTTTTGCTCAAATGTTTGTTGTTGTTGCTGTTGCTGTCACCATCAATCATAAAGATACAACAGATACTTGTTACTGCATGTACAGCAGCCCAAAATTTGTTATTGCAAATTTTCTTATAAGCTTATATTTTGGTTGAAATAGCAAATATATTTTGTGAAATGTGCTCTTATAAAAATGTTTTTTAATAGAAATTTGCTTGCTGTGCCAAGTGCTACATTTGAGGATGACCAGATGCATGGACTTTGCTGTTGCTACATGAAAAAAAATGAAAGTTGTATATCTTATTTTGAAGTGGTCGTTGAGTGTTTCAGCATGCCTGGAATTAGTAAATTTGGTAAACTATGGCTGTAAAGGAAAATGCTAACTTGAAGACACAGAAGGAACAGATGTGGCAGTGAGCTGATGAGCTCCCCTTCTCTGGTTATACCTACTACCTGAATTGGGAAGTCCTACATGTAATAATTACTGAGGAAGCAGCAAAGTAAGGCTGTTGTATGAAGGGAATTGACTAATAGTTTGTCAGTTTAGCAGAAATTAGTTAAGTACCAATATTTTATTTATTAATATTTGTTGCATGCATTAAAGAGGATTTTAGATTTCAGCTTATTTGTAACCATGTAGTAGACACATGCATCACACATTTAATCCTCAAGGCAATCTTATAAGGAAGACACTATCATTACCTTTATGATAGTGAAATTAGTTTAGGAAAAGAAATGTGAAAAACGTGTCCTTGCTAGAGTCCACCTGGACATTTGAGTGGTTTGTCATTTCACAGTTGTATCTGCTCATTAATTAACTGTGCTGTTTGCAGATGAATTAGGAAAAACTCAATGATTTTTAAATATTTTAAGTTGTTGGGTGCTCACCCTTTGAACAAGTTTTGTTCCTCCTCTCCTTTCTAAAGCAAACTCTGGGTTCTTATTGCATAATTAGTGATTGGTTAATAGGAAATAAACAGACATTCTAAAATGAATGTTAATGAATTAATTATTAATAGATCATAGTAGCCAAAAAACAGAACAGAGACTTTAAAAGACTGATCTGTGGGGACAGAGCTCTTCTAATCCTTCTACAGTTTTAGGTAGTCTGTCATCAGTTATATTTTGTGTGTTTAATTGAAGTGAAAACTTTTGGCTTTGGTGGTCTTTCTGTAAAGATCAGCCTCATATATTTTATCTGTCTTTTTTTCTTTTGTTAAAGTCAGAACAAATGTATATTGCTACAGTGACTGTCATTTCCCTTTAACCTGAATTCCACTTATCTAAATTCCTCTTACCTTACTCTCATTAACAGGAACTGTACCAGTGTCACAGTTTTACTTGTTAGAATTGCATTATGAAATGAGGAGTCACATCTTTCTGCCCCATGCTTGTGATGTGGACACCTCTGTCTTAAGGTTATTTCCATGCATATGATTACAGTACATTGGAATGCAAAAGACATGGCAGTGAAGATGGCACACAGTTAGTTATTTACTAATTGGCCACATGTTTGCAGGTTAAATCTGTACTCAATTTTTAAAATTTTTGAATTTTGAATTTCTTCTGAGGTGAAAATGGTGTGAATCAGTTAAAATACTGGCTAATTGGTTTTGCTGTTTCTTTTTACTATACCTTGTTATAGACTGAAGACACTTAAAATATTTTTGATGCTTATATAATTGCTTGGGAGAACTGACGTATTTACAGGACCCATTGTGATACAACAAAAAAATCTTAAATTAGAAGACAGAAATCAAGCATTAGTGCTTAGATGTTTTTAATTAGATAAGATTAGTATATTTTGCTGGCTTCATATCAAGTTTCTATTCCTCACTTACAGAATTGGGGTGTTACCAGATCATCTTTAAAGTCACCTCCAGCTAGAGCATTAAAGGGATAGTTAGGTCATGTGCTTGGTTCAACACAACTTACAAGGTATTGAAACATCTAAAAGTTGATACATATGTAATTTTTATATATGTAAACATATTTATATATTACATATCAGCATAGGCTTTGCATCTATAGCTGTATCTATCTATGTATAAAGAATATTTTTGCAAGACGTTTTAAACATACATTTTCTATACTCTTTAATTTAGACTTCTTGGTATCCTCAAAAGAGGGACAGTCTCTTAATTACCATCAATGGAGTGTGGCTTTTAAATTTTCATTTTCTGATATGCAGACTCCTTTCTGTAATTTGCAGTCAATAGTTTACTTTCAATGATTATTTTAAGGAATTATCAAAATTACTAGAGAAGACTGAGCCTTTAAGTTGTACCCATGCTTTATTACAAAGAATTGGTAATTAGAGAAGTCATTGTTGGACTTGTTTTCAAGAAGGTCAGTAATTTTTTATTATGCAGAAAGGATCCACCGTTGCATTTAGTCTCCTATTTACCCGACAATCTTCAAAGGAGAACGATTGAACATCTTTAAGTAAAAGCATTATGAAGAATATCTTTGAAACCTTTTTATCAGTCATAGGAAAAGGTCCACTTGGGAATAGTGCTAAACCATTACTGCTGCCAGTTACGTTGTTGAATGAGTGAAATGAATCAACCAACCAACCAGCCAGTCCTTCAATTAATTCATTACAGAAAGGTACATTCACTTTTTTATGCTTAGGGTAGTACAAAAAGAGTTCATTAATCATGAAAAATTTTAAGTTGACAAAAATTTTTAACATCCTTTTTTGGGAATGTATTTCTATTTTGAGCATTCCATGTACAAAATGCAGTGTCTTACTTATGTTCCTCCACCTAATAAAGTAGTTTTAGGGCTTTACTGAGATCAGAATCATTTAGGTCCTGTTAGAAATCAGGACCTCATCCATAAAGACTTAGTATGTCTGCAGTGGAGTGCAGGAATTTTTTTTTATTAAACAAATAATTCTGAATGCAAATAGCCTGCAAAATACTTGGTATGGAAGATACCAGCACTTGTCGGTTAAACCTCAGCTCAGGGTTGAAAACCTGCCTCCACCAGTACATGTTACATATTGCTAAGTTGCTGAGAACTCTGTGTCCAGCATTATGAAAGATTTTAGGTAAACAGTGATGATTGTTAAAGTGGTTCATATCACATAGCAGTTACAAGCACCAGGAGCCACATCCTTCTGATACTTATGAAGATATTAGATGGCTGTTTGGTTGATTACGTCGTTTTTAAATCATGAGAAAAACATATTAAATATTCCAAGTAAGGTGGGAAAACTAATTGGCCTGTGATATTTTCCATTGGAATTTATTTTTGTTTGTTTTAAAATAGATTGTACTTGTACTGTAAAGTGTTACTCTACTGAGGTAGTAATGAGACAAGCTTCTAATTCAGGCCCCTGGTTACTGTGTACTTTGGGTTATTCATATGGAAGAGTTTTACAATCTTTTCATGTAGGCAGAAGTTAATGGAATACCTATTAACTACACAATATGGAGTTGGAGCATGCCTAGGTTATGTGACTGTATGGATTAAGCATGATTATATACAAAAGACTTTCTTCTTGGGAATATTTAGAAAAACAGATGCATAGTTTTCTTTTTGGGGGAACAAATAGTTGTTTTCAGTTATATGGAACAGACTCTTGATAGGAGTATCTTAATTTTCTTTTTCTGTTGACGATGTTTGTTTACTGCTTGTGTAATACTTTCTTTAAGGGCTGGAGGAGTGGCTCTAGTGGTAGAACACCTGCCTAGGAAGTACAAAGCCCTGAGTTCAAACCCCAGCACTAGAGAGAGAGATAGAGAAAGAAAATATTTTCTCTAGAAAACTGCCAAGAAATCTTAAAAGTTTTATGCACATGAGTATAGCAGATTTAAAAGAAAACCTGTGATTTAAATAAAATTAGAATGGTTCTTAAAAAAATATAAGTGCTTGTTTGGTGGTGCGTGTTTGTAATCTTAGTACTTTGGAGGCATAGGAAGGAGCATAGGAGTTTGAGGCCAGCCTGGGACCGTGTCTCACACAAGCAAACAACAAAATGTGTATGTGTGTGTGTGTGTGTGTGTGTGTGTGTGTGTGTGTGAGAGAGAGAGAGAGAGAGAGAGAGAGAGAGAGAGAGAGAGAGAGTGTTAGAGTCCCACCTACTTAAAGCATCTGATGTACTTTGTCAATTACTAATTTGATTAGTTTCTACTTTTTTGTAAATTGTCTAAAATAAGATAATTGCTAATCTGGGCTTGGCTTCACAGTTCCTGTTTTTCTTTAACTTATTTCTACAACTAAATAAAAGTTACATTTTTCCTCTACTTACAGTTCTTTAGAATAGTGATGAGAGCAACTATTGATTTGCATACTTTGGCATATTGCACTGATTTTAAAGTTGTGCCTATTTTCCTTTTCCATTGGGTTTGTGCATTTGCTGTTGTCTCATTGATAAACAGAAAATCCAGATTCTTACATCCATGTTGGATGCATCCAGACAGGATATGGGGGCATAGCAAAGGTCACAATAAAAGGTTAGGGAAAAAGTTACAAAAGGCCATGGTGGGGCCACGTGGAAGCTGGAAGCAGAGAGTCTCTTTCCAGTTGCTTTTAAAACCTACACCTATCGGAAGGGAAGGACCTGGTGATTCCAAACCACCAGTGATCCATTGGTAGGGAGGGGCATGGGTGGTCCCTGGACCAGGGTGTGAATAACATACACACATCTGCAATTGAAAAGAAGGCTCAGAGAAAGAGAGGAATGTTCAACTTGAAATACAATAAGTCATACATGTTTTAATCCCCAAGTCTAGCCTCCCTCACAGTTATTCACAGAGTGAATAACTGAAAATTGGAAGTACTTTTAATGATTCCTTGGTTGTTCATTTCTGTATGTTCAGTTTTTTTTAAACATGACCTCAAGTGGCAAACTCTTTTATACATGTGTAATATAATACATAATAATACATGATATGTGTAAAGTGTAGGTAATGTTATACACAAGGATGCTTGTGTTCTCTGGCTGAAATGATAATGATGGGGTCCGCTTTCTGATTTTCAAGGAAAACTCACATTTGATCTTAACAGAGCTCTTAGGAGGTAGCTAAGTTAGGTGTCCTTTTCTTTATTATTAATTATTATTATTTTGGCATTACTGGAATTTGAACTCAGGGATTTCTGTTTGCATCAAGGAGCAAGGACCACTTTTGTTTGTTTGGGGGTTTTTTGGCCGTAGCGAGGTTTGGACTTGGTGTCTTGTGCATCCTAGGCAGGTGGTGTACCACTTGAGCCACACCTTCAGGCTTGTTTTTCTTTATTTTTTTAGAATCAGATTTTACAGCTATTGTCTAACTAACTGAAATTTGAAATCAGCTTAGGAATTTTATTATAATATTTAGCTTAGGAATTTAATTATAAATAAATTAAATATGATCCTTTCCCTCACCAGGGTTTTGAAGTGTGGAGATTTTTAATCTTCTTTAAATTAAAGGTGTAGATGATTTCTTTGCATTAGAGTGTAAACTCATGCCAGAAGTGCTGTGGACACTAAAATCCTTGATTTTTCAGTACTATTTTTTTAAATGTGGTTTTAGCTTGAATTTGATAGAAAATGAAGTCCATGGTGCTTGTTGGTGAACATGTATGTTTACGTCTTTTATTAAGTTCCTGATGCTGCCCATTTAGTTTTTAATTGACTGTCCAAAATATTAAAACAGACTTCATTCCTAGTCCCTGTTACAATTAGCTCTCTGTTCCTGCTTTTAGATGTTATTCTCCAAGGATAGCTGAATTAATTACACAAATTTGAGGAGTATAAAGCATACTACTTCAAAGTACTTTAAAGTAGTCTGTTTTGTGTTCCGAAAAAAATGTGCAAGTGACTCTCCAGTATTGAATTAATGCAAACATTAACATTAATTTCCTTAGGATCGCAGTACCTTTGCTTGCAGAATTTAATACTCCCACCAAGCTTATTGTTATTTTGACAGTTTTGAAATATGTCTGTTATATTTTAAAAAACAGAGATCAAATAATGGAACAGCTTATTGTAAACAGATTTGAATGATGGTTATAAGCTGTCTATGATTTCTCTTATGCAGTAATCACAACCTATTGAAATTGTTGTTAACGGTGTTTCCATTTTAAAGATTTCATAGGTAATCAAATGATACCAATGGATCCTGCAATTAAGAAGGAAATATGATCCACACTCTAAAAAGATTTTAGATTTAGTTTTATCTTCTCCATTCCAAGTTCTCTATATGGTACATCTTACAATTTCTTATCCTGGAACTAATTAATTTATTAAATTGATTAAATTAGTTGGAATTTTTTTGTCAATTATAATTTGCTAACATAAAACTATATCTAAAAGTTTTTTTGGGTGGAGGAGGTCAGCATAGTCTATACTTTTCTTGAGTTATCAGAGAAAGCAGGCCAAACCTATACTCACCAGGGAAGGGGTAGATCACATTTTATTGATGGCAACTGTTAGGAAAGAATGTGTTTTAAACGCTCTTGGAATTTTGTTCCGTCAGATTGGATCTAGAATCCAATGCACATCTAGTACTAAGCACTCTCTTCCTGCCTTTCTGTCATGACCTCTCACCAGTACAAGCTTTCACAAGAGACTTTCTTTTCCTTCATTTTTCCAAAGGCTAAAGTAATGTGAGAGGAACTATTTCAATATATTTCTTCTATCAAGAGAAACTTAAACTGGAAAGTAAAAATATGAAAGTCAAATGCATATCATGTGAAAGCTGACTTTGAAATCTCAGAAATAGCTGGTTTTATGACATACTCTAATTCCTAGTTATCAACTGTGCTTAAATATTTTTAGAATTCCTCCTAACTGCATTCCACAAAAGAATAAAGTACAAAATTATAATAAACCAGTCCTTAATCTATAAAAATCACACTCATACACAAAAAGGAAAAAGCAGACTTTTAGATATTATTTCTTTCAAAGTTGAAAAATAGAATGGCAGTTCTCCTGCTGCCCCAGTTCCTTTCCAGTTAATTCAGAAAAGTAGGAAACACTGAGAATTGGCAGCGGTAGTGAGAGACCACATGTCTCTCAAGAAGTTTGCTGTCACGTTTCCTTCCTGTTGGATGGGGCTGTACTGACATGGGTTTGCTTAAACAGAAAAGTAGCCCCTCTGATTGTGCTGTGGTAGATACCTGCTTTTACTTCAGTTCCATGTTTCTTCTGTCTCTGGTGATGAGCCTCGAGTTTTGGTGAGGTACCGGTAACCTGGGTTTTAGAAAGCCTCACCAATCACTCCTCTTGCTCAGCCAGAAATAAGGAAAGTTGTGTCTCTCAGAGTGTGTCTGTCTAGCACATGGTAGGTATTTAGTAAACTTTCAAAACTTAAATAAATTGAAAGGAGTGGTGAGTGGAGTTGGCCAATTGCTATGCTTATGGAATAGGAAGCTTTAGCTAGCATAAAGTTTCCAGCAGAGCTGGATGTTACTTACAATGTTCTCTTTAAGATGTTGGAAGACCCAAATTATGCAGCTCTTCTTAAGAAACTCTTCCCTCTGTAACAGAGATATGAATATAATGGGAGGTGAAGATTTAAATGCAGTTCGTTTATATAAACCTAGGAAACATTCACTTTTTAAATCATAGAAAAGTTTCAGTTTCTCATTTAACTCCAAAATGAAGAGTTCAGTATCTGCATTTGCTTAGTTTGTGAAAGTACCTTGGGAGCATAGAAGTCATTTCCTTGAAGTCTATGTTTTAAAAGCTTTGGGAAGTTTTTTTTTGAAGCAAGAACACAAAATATTAGGACATTCTATGTTGTAGATGGCCCTCTTGTGGTGGGAAGTTCAAACTATCCCAGCAGGAAATAATAAGAGCAAAAATCAAAACTGAACAGACAAATGAGAACTAATTTATTTGTACCTTTCCTTTGGATCCCCATGGGAAAATTAGCATAAAACAAATAAATAATAATACAAACTAATCCTTTTTTCCATCTGCTTTATGTTGGCTACCACATGAATCACTAGTGGTAAAAAAATAACTTCATGTAAAAAGCTATCAAATCTGAATTTTTCAAGGCTGAGCTGGAACCACAGTCCTCCTGGTCTCCACCTCCAGGGTGAGCCACTGTACCCAGATCCTAATCTCATTTTATCAGTTCTCCTACCTATATCTCTCTGATTTCAGAATTGCCCGGTCTTTGATATTGTCTTAATCTTTCTTTGTCTTAAGACCTTGATACTTTGAAAGAGTACCAGTTAGTTATTTGGTAAAATATCCTTTCAGTCACTTTGTCTGATGTTTCCTCATGACTTATTTTAGGCAGTAATACAGATGTTGTGATGTTGTTGCATACGTTTTGTTGTTTGTTGTCATATCAATAGATGTGTGATGTCCTTATGTCTTGTTACTAGTAATGTTGACTCTGTTCACTTGGTTAAAGTGGTGTCCACTGGAGTTCTTCACTGTAAAGTTACTATTTTTCTCTTCATGATTAATAAGTATGTCAGTATAACTTTAGATTAGATGCTTTACCACTTATCATATATTTTCTTTCTCTAGGGCATTTTACCAAAATGGAGTGAAAATTTGTATACTAAGCTGGCATTGCTGAAGTCATTTTCTTGTATTATTTGCAGTTACCTTTCTCCATCTATGTCTTCTTTCACCAGTTGTGAATATCGAGTTACAGCCTTCAGGAAGGTCTGCTTATTCATGTTGACTGACCCCCATGCACTTAATCACCTCATAGGTGTGTCGAGAGTACCAGCGTGGAAACTGCAACAGAGGTGAAAATGATTGTCGGTTTGCCCATCCTGCTGACAGCACAATGATTGACACCAACGACAATACAGTCACTGTCTGCATGGATTATATCAAAGGGAGATGCTCTCGGGAAAAGTGCAAATACTTTCATCCTCCTGCACATCTGCAAGCCAAGATCAAGGCTGCCCAATACCAGGTCAACCAGGCTGCAGCAGCCCAGGCTGCAGCCACTGCAGCTGCCATGGTAAGTAGAGACATCTGCTGTCTCCTTGAGCAATCAAATAAGTAAAGTGAATGACTATATCTGACTATAGGCTAGTCAAGCTTTTTAAAAAATTTTTTGCTGAAGATATGTTTGTTCAGGTATCCCAGACAATACATAAAGAAACTACCATTCACAGAAGTGAGGGTAACTCCTCAGATGGTTCAGGTAGCTCCTACTCTTAGTCTAACTCTTAATAGTCTATCTTACTCTGGATGTAGGGTTTCTGAAATTTCTGCTTCATGAAGAACCACCTGTCTCCTTTTCAATTTAACTATACTGCCATTTTCAGTCTTCTTATCTCTGTGTGCCATCTAATCAGCCATCATTTTCCTTTGGTGTGTTTTTTTGCACATCAAGGCTTTCCTTTACATATATCTTGCTTTTAGCAGTAACATAATCTGGAACTATTTAGCAGAATTGCTTCAACAAAATTGTTTTTAGAATTAGCTACAGGATTTTGAATAGTATGCTATCTAGATTGTCTGAAATTATATTGTGGCATAGACATAATAATAAAACTACAGAAGTCTTACTATGCCATTATATATAGAAGGGGAGAGAGAGAGAGAGAGAGAGAGAGAGAGGTATTTTAGGAGTTAGAATTGGATCATATAGAATGGATACTGAGCTGTACTCGTAAGGTAAATTTCTATGTGACCCAATAGCTGAGTTGAATGAGTCCATTCTTTGTTCTTTGCTTAGTTGTTTTAATGCTATCCTTTTTAACATAAATATATAACAGTCTTTAAACTATTCATGAAAAATAACTGTGCAGTATTTTGTAGCACAGTAAAATAATTACAAGAGAGGTCTTTTCTGTGTTTGTTTATGGATACTTGAGCAAAAATACAGAAGGCAGACTCTCTCCTTTTCTGTTCCTTTCACTCTTTTTTTTTTCCTGTTAGAGTATCTTGTTTGTAATTAACGACAAAAAGGAGTTATCCTCCCAATAACAACTCGATAGTGCCTTTATCGTGCATGCTTAGTCTTGTTATTCGTTGTATATGGCATTCCGATGATTTGTTTTTTTATTTGTTTTTTCTCACCTACCCAAAAATGCACTGCTGCCCCCATGATGCACCTCTGCTTGCTGTTTATGTTAATGCGCTTGAACCCCACTGGCCCATTGCCATCATGTGCTCGCTGCCTGCTAATTAAGACTCAGTCGGCTGTCAAATCACTGAAGCGACCCCTCGAGGCAACCTTTGACCTGGTACTATGACCTTTCACCTTTTAGCTTGGCATGTAGCTTTATTGTAGATACAAGTTTTTTTTTTTAACCAATTAAAAAAATATTTGTTCCTTTTTCTGTTATAAAGTTGTAAAGTTCAATGAAACACTGAGTGTGGTTTCCTGAAAATGAGTGGGAAGACTGTAACCTAAGTACACAAGTGGATGGCATACACTGAACGCCCTGCAGCCCACATTCAGTTTAACTACATTGTAAAATAGTCTAAGGAAATACTTGGAGGACGTTAAAGTGTATTTTTGACTGTATATTTATGTACCTGTTTGGTTAGCATGCCTTAGTGATGGAATTATTTACTTTCAATACTTACAGTTTAGTATTTAAGAAAAACTGCATGCTCGGGGAACTTTGCATGTGTAGGCAGATGGGGGGCAGAACGGGGCAGGTTTTGTTCTGCCATTTCGGTCACTCTGTACAATCAACTCTTAACATTGCTTACACTTGATCCTCATGGAGCTCGCAGTGCAGCTTTTCTTCTTTTCCCAAATTGTGGCTTCTCACAGAAAGCCTGAAGCATTATGGGACATAGGCACCTTAACACATTATAACATGTGCTTTTGTACGAGTGGGGTTTGTTGTGAACAAAAATAATGCTTCCTTAAAGCTTTTATCTTGCTTTTATTTTTTCTTTAATTTTTGTTGGATTTTTCCCTTGGGTAGTTGAGTGCTCTGCTTGCTTGCTCATGCTTCCTAACAATTTTAGCCTTCGACTGATTTTCCTTTTCTCTTTTTCTCTTTTTACTGGTATTTGTTTTTTATACTCATTCACTAAACAGGGAATTCCACAAGCTGTACTTCCCCCGTTACCAAAGAGGCCTGCTCTTGAAAAAACCAACGGTGCCACCGCAGTCTTTAACACTGGTATTTTCCAATACCAACAGGCTCTAGCCAACATGCAGTTACAGCAGCATACGGCATTTCTCCCGCCAGGTAAGGGGCTGGGCTTGATGGAAATGGAGGTGATGACTGCATAGCTTCTTTGTTAGAGCAGATGAACCTCTTGAAGGTCACATTAGCCATAGATGAGGTGTGAGGTAAGGTGGTCGGTCAGCCATGGAAGCATATCTGTAGTATTATACATGATTTTCCTTCAAAACCAAGAGTTTAAGCTTAATGAAACATGGGTTAAAGATCAGTGGTGTTTTATGTATTTATTTGTGTTTGTGGTATTTGGAATTGAAATGCAGTTCTTCTCTTTTTTTCTCTTTCTTAAACAGCGTTATATGTTTGTCAAGCTATTTTATGACACTTTCCTGCTGTAAGACCCCTTTGCCTTTATGATTCCTCAAGAGTCAATTTGAATGATATGAACAACTCTCAATTTGGACTTTGTTTCAGTCTTTTTGTTTACAGCATGTATAATATAAAACTGACTATGCATTCTAGAGCTCTTAAAATATGCTCTTCTTAATACCAATCAGTATATTAAAAATATTTTCCTAAGCTAAAATTGAAGTAGTCCCAAATACCAGTGATACTTACATTTATGATTAAGTCATGAATTTGTGGTTTCAGTTCATTTTTAATTTGGTCACATATACATATGGTGGAATCATTCACAGGAATTTAGAAATTGAAAATACAGATTAGCAACACATTTAGATGCCTGGAAAATCACCATTTTTATATACTCCAAATTCATTTCATAGACAGAGAACAACTGGCATTTAACTAGCCATACTCTTTAATATTACATACCTCTTTATCTCTTAGCCTTTATTTTTAAAAATAATACAAATTTTAGAGATTATTCCATAAAATAATTTTATTAATTAAATCAGTAAGTTAATGACTAGGTGTGTATGTAAAAGATCCAGCCCCTTATTCTGTATTTACAATATGTAGCACAGTGTACAGTATAGTATACAGATACAAAGCACAGTGTTTGCAGTGCATTAGGCTCGTATTGGTATGAGTGGACAGGAATTTTTCTCTCTTTTGGGGGTGATACTAGGGATGACCTCTGGGCCTAAGCGTTTGCTAGATAGGTGCTATACTGCTTGAGCCACACCTTCAGCCCTTTTTACCTTGGGTTATTTTTGAAATAAGGTCTTGCTTTGTGTCTGGGCCAGCCTAGGTTGCAATCCTCCTATTTACCATTTCCACGTAACTGGAATGACAGGTGTGTACCACCATGCTGAGCTTTTATTGGTTGAACCTTTTGGCTATGTTGGCTTCAAGCTTTAGTCCTCCTGATAGCTGCTTGCCATATAATTGGGATTACAGGCTTGAACTGCCATGCCTACCCCAGTGATTTATTTTTGATTCATGAACAAAAGAATAGATTATACTCACATTAATCTTTACTGGTAACCATAACTTTTCACATGATACATCTCTGAAAACTGACTGTCCATTTGTAGGGTAAATAACTTTCCCTGTGTAAAATCTAAAAATAAAAGCAAACCTATCTTCTTGTCTGTTATTTAAAGAAACTTGAAATAATCTGTCTCATCAAACAGGTTTTGCATCTGTTTTTCCAACCATGTTCACATGGTTATATTCGTTTTAAGCCAGTGTGGCCGTCACCTGTGTGTTATGTGTGACCCTTGCTTATGACGGTGGTATCTCCCTTTGGTGGGTTGTACTTTGCAAATAGAACAAAAGATGCTGGAAAGGAATCAGAAAACAATAAACCAATAAATAAGTCAGAGCCAACCGCCCTGCCCCTCTGTTCTTGGAAGTTAAGCGTTGCTCATTTTACATGTGCAACAATATCTTGAAATATGCTGACAATTTTAAGATATATTTACAATTTTATTTTATGATGCATTTCGTATCCAAGATATGCTATTCTTGATACTCTTACATAATATGATACCATTGTGGTTGCAATGTAAAATGATATTTGAGGCTTGGTTTTAAGATGCTGAAGCTCAGGTTGACCTATTTATTAGTTGCATAACCAGAGGGAGGTGTTACCTTAATGATCTTTGTTTGTTTGTTTGTTTGTTTTTTAGCCCTTTTTGTTTTCATTATTTTTCAGATAGTGTCTCATGTTTTTTGCCTGAGAAAGCCTCAAACTATAATCCTCCTACCAGCACCTCTGGCATAGCTGGGATTAGAGTTATGTACCAACATTCCCAGCTTTTTGTTGAGATGGGGTCTTGCTAACTTTTTGCAAGGGTGGTCTTGAATTGAACCAGGATCCTCCCCATCTCTGAGCCCTCCCTAGTAGCTAGAATTTCAGCTGTGTGCCACCACACCTGGACCATCTTCATAATTCTTTAAGAATATTTTCATTGTTATATATGTGCTTGTGTGCACAAAATATGGTCCTATACATAAAAAGTTTAAAAGGGATAGCCTACTTTTGCTTCTGCCAAATCCCTTTATCAAATAGTTAGAAAACAAAGAAGTCTGATGCAGGGAATGTGAACTCAAATACCTGAGGGACCAGGCAGGAACAAACAGGAGAGTCAGAGATTAAGTTGGGAGCTATAAGCTGTGGGAGGCCCTGGGGAGCCAGGCCCTGTCTAAGGGGATGGTGTTCAGACTGCACCTGGCATGCACAGCTGTCGCTACATTCTAATGTGTATGAAGGGCGTTGGTGGAGTCTGTGCTTCTAAGGTTAGCTGGACAAACCTACACAGCCCACCCAGTAACCTTAATGGATGTACTGCTAGATGTAGTGATTCCCCTTGTATGTTCTGAACACTGATGTTTTCTTATGTGAAATCCTCTAGTTTTAAAGATGTTGTCAGTTCAGTTTTTAAAACACAACCTGTGATAACTAAAAGACATCCATCCTATCATAGATTTATATATAATCTTACCTGTCCGGGAGAAAACAAGTTCATGTTACAAAATCTAGGTGATCCTCCAGAGAGATAGTGCAAAGACTTTCATAACAACGGCATCTTAGTGGACCACAATGTAACAGCTGGGAAGGAACACTGAAGGCTTTATTGAGACTGGGAAGAACATGGAAGTCATTGATTTTTGTGCAGCTCAGATTTTTAGAGCTATGTACCAAGATATATGTAAGTATATTACAGTCAGGTTATAGTAAAGCATGGTTGGCTAAATCCTTACAGCTGTGACTATGTATATAGTGAGTAGGTTGCTGGCAAAATATCCGAGTCCAGTGTCTGGCCAGCTAGCTAGCTAAGAGAAATCCCTATACACTATAACTTTTATGAGCTTATATGCCATCTCCCTCTTCCAGCCAACAGGCATGTTTGTGTCCATTTATCCATCCTTATATCCATCTGTCTTTCAAACTGTCATTCAATCCTTGCCTTTGTCATTCCTTTTCTCCTTTCCTTTCTCTATCCTCCTCCCCATTTATCATTCCATTCATTCATTCAGCAATCATTGACTGTATGCCACATGGTGTAGTATTTACACTTAAGGATTGCAAACTCATGGCTCTAAGTATAGCCAGAAATATTTTGTCTAGGAGCTAAGCAATTATATATTTTACTTACAAAATATAAATAAATCTTATATATAGGCACATACTTCCCTATCCAAGTCTCACACTCCCTATCCCCTTATTCCCAGTTGCTTCTCACATTTTATTCAAAAGATTTATTTTTTATTGGATAGTCACTCTCTGCCATACTTTGCTGAATGTCTGACCATACATTATCTCATTTTCTTTTTCTGAAAAGAAAAAAAAAATCCAAAAGATTTACAGCCTAGTGAGGTCTAGAAAGTTATACCTGAGTTACATGTTTTATAAGGTTTCTGTAGAACTCAAACTCAGATCCAGGGGATTTGGATCTGTTTTTCAATAACTGTGTGCTTCTTATGCCTAAATAAGAATTTTAGAGGACAAAACTAGCCTTGCTGATCGCCCAGTTCCATTCCTAATATCTCATACCCTGTGTCTTACTTAAAAATGAACATAAGTTGTAGATTAACTTCACATTGAAGTTTTGTTTTGTTTTGTTTTGTTTTCAATTTTAGGTATATAGTGTTTGGGGATTTTTTTGCATTCATTCCTCAGGCCTAAATTAATTGTCTATATTTATAGGTATGAATTTCACCCCTAAAAATTAGAATATTGTCAGAAATAACACTTTTATTTATGTTGTTTCTTTCCTTGAGTTTAAATGAAGTCAAATTCTAATCTTACTGAGTTGGATGGGAGGTAACAGACATTATTGAGAATCCAGGGCTCCATCCTCTTCCCACCACTTTTCCAGCGAGGTCCTGTGCAGTCCCATTCTACATTCTTCAGTCCCCACTGCTTACTGATGGTGTATCATTGCATGTTTGCAAGAGCTCTTAAAGACACATCCTCCACAGGTGTAAGCATCCTTGGCTAAGCCCCTGGTTCACAGGCAGCCCATACTCATAGCACCTGCCCTTGGCAGGGCTGTTGTAAAAGAACAGGCCACGTCTATACTACTCAGGGCCTTTGAGACTTCCTGCCTCCCCAGGGTCTTAAGGAATTTATCTCTTAGCTCTCCATGACCATTTTTGCTATCCTCAGAAGCATGCTTCTCTCCTCTCCTCCTGGCGTATTTCCCTCAGTCAAGGTTGGCTTACGAGTTTTGGAAGATCTAAAATAGTTTGCTTGATATTTGGCTTCCATTACAACTCTACCAGAAATAAGGAAACAGAAGGCTAGGAAGCTTTCTTAGGTACCGAAGGAGGTGAGGGTGGGGCAGGCTGTTTTTACAGAAAAAGAGAAAACCTAAAGATTTCTAGCTTGTCATTTTTATTATAATAATATAAATATTTGTAGTTTTAGTATTACACATTAATGAAATTATGTATAATTAGTGAAAATTAAGAAGCTGCTGCTTATCTGGGTATCAGTTTTGATAATTCAATTGATTATGAGCTTTCATTCCTAAAATGTTAATTTTAGATCTTAAATCAGCTTTGTACTCTTTATAATATACCTAAGTAGGCCTGAATTACCACATGGTAGGTTCACCATCCAACCAGGTCTTTATTACCTTTTTCTCACTTTTTCTCTTCTTCTTTGAAGTAATTTTAACTATTCGTGCATTTCACTTTAAATTATCATCCTGTTGTTTTACCTGCATCTTCACACAGACCAATTAGAAACTTAATTTAAAAGATTTGTAATTAAAAAAAAATCCATTGTTCAGAAACACAACCATTCTACTATGCAAATATCTTTATAGGTTAACTGGAAATTCACAAATACACTCACTTAAATTTTGCCTTTGTTGAAAATCAAGAAAAAAAAATTAAATTGGCTAGTGGGCTATCAGTTTTAGTATATCAACCCATTTGAAGTAAAAATGGATATTATGGTCATTTCAAAAGTGATTTTTGCTTTTGGTAAGTGGGTCCTACAGCATTATGTCTTCATATTTTTTAATTATTGCACTCTGGCTAGTATTTTCATTGCTGCCTTATGTTTATTTGCTACAAACCCTCTCAAAACTGTGTGCATTGGTTATAATGGCCATGAGGAAGACAACTCAAACCATAATTCAAATTATGAGAACTATAGGGCTTTAGAGGGGTGTTACAAGGTTAACTCATCTCCAGCATATGCAGGCTTAATTATGCATGGGATGAAATACAGTAGGCAAATTTCAATAGAACAATAAGTAATAACCTGTAATTAGTGCAATATTTAAACCAAGATTAATATTCCATAAATACCACATTATTCTCTTTCATTCACCTTTTATATTTTCTTTCCTGATCCCTCCATCCTAGCAGTAGAGGGTAATGGCTTCACAAAATCTAGACCCAGTATTAAATTTTGCCTGCTCTACTGTCTCAAATTAATAACTTGTTACTGGCTTGTTTCTGCTGTTGATTTTCACAAGTCTGACTCAGCAGTAGCAGCAAATCACGGAGATATGCAAAGGTCTCAAATAATGCCTGCTCAGTGCATCACACAGCCTGCAAGGGTGCTTCCCCACATCCACCACTGAGTTTAATCACTGATCCTTGTGCCCACAATGCAATTGTGTTAACAGACTAATTGCAACTTTGACAAGAATGCCAGTTAAGTGAACTGTGTTTCAGTGAAGTTTCTCAATGGTAGCCACCTCTGAGAAGACTCAGTAGGCAGATATTTTTCTAGCAAATGTTCATCCCAGATACTGCTAGTATTTAAACAGGATGTGCCAAGATTTAGAGATTTAGATAGAAATATAAAATCACTTGATATTTTAAAACCCGGAGTCCAAAATAACCTCATTTTATAGAAAGAGCAGTAGTTCACATATATGAAACTGCCCTGAATTTGGTAAAAATAAACAGATTTTCAATATGTTTATGTCCAAAAGAACAGGAGTTATGTATGTCACATTTATTTTTACTTACCATGGTCAAGCAATTGTGAATGTCAGTGCATCCACCCCATATGTGATGTGTGCATCTTCTTTTTCTCCCACTTGGTTTTTATTGAAGTCTAGTTTTACTGAAGTTTTGAGGGTCCAACCCAGCAATGAAAACTAGTTTTGCCAGAAACCTACCAAGTAAGCCAGTTTGGGACTTAAAACAAATTGTCTCTCCTCTTATGGTTTTCCAACATTTTGAATTCCAAACTAAGGAAATGAAAAAGTTTCACTTTCTTTTCATACAGAATTTATTGCTTAATGTCCCTCCAAACAAAGTTCCTATACTAATGATCACAGCCTCACTCATGTCTGTCTGATTGCTGCTGAAATGAGCAGAGAAATAAAGCAGAGGGAATTATAGTTTGGTTCACTACATCGTTAACTTAGTTTTGTGCTTTAAATTATTTAGCATTTTAATAAATAGTATCTCTGATTATTTAACATGGTTCAATCCAAAGAAAATGTTAATACATTCATGTGTCAAAGTCAGAAATAGCAAAGCAGCCAGATGGCTAATAACCAGATTAAAACAAATTACAGAATGACTTTTAAAAAAATAAGCAGGTTTAATTTTTTTTCCAAAACACTTTTATTTATAGGCAGCAATTAAGAGAAACAAAGTGTACCAGCACACAGTTAAACTGGCTTTATTCTTCTCTGGAGACTAGTTCTGATTGATGACTGTGCTATTGTATGATTTGATTGTGCTGACAGTTACATGCTACTGTTCCCATAATAACAATTTTTCTTCTTTGTTCAAATGAATTTCCTAATTACACGTGTGATGGGATGTTTTAATTCTTTTCCCTTTTCAAATCCACCTTCCTGTTGCAATGCATGATGGGCAGGCTCAATATTGTGCATGACACCCGCTACAAGTGTTGGTAGGTGCCAGCTTTGTTTCTTGATTATCTTAAACCTATGGTGCGCCTCACAGCCCCTCAAAATCCACTGCTCAGTTTAACTTTTATCTATTGGGCAAATCCATTTCCCTTTTACTAACACCTGTCAATTAAATGCCATTTCTATTTAATTGACATGGACTCACATAAATGTTTTCTTTACACACAAGTTTCCTTTAGTCACCTTTGGTGGATTTTGATTGGACTATGAGTTCTGGTGTGTAAAAATAGTCTATCTCATAAAAGTAATAACTGTATATTTTTGTAATAGTAAATAATTTTTAAATACTTTTACTCAGATAATTGTATATATGAAGTAAATACCTGTATTTTATAAGATTTTGAATATGAGTATGAGCACTATATAAAATTCTTGTTTTTGACTTAGCAAATTAAGCCTGTTTATGTCAATTTTCTTGATTTGATGGTAACAAGCTTTTTTCCCCTTTTTTTTCTCTTTCATCCCCCTCCCCTTCTCTCCTTGGAATGCTGTCCTGCTTTGCGCTGTGATTGCATGTCACTCGCTGGTGACGTTCTGTCACATGGCTTACTGCTATGATAAACACCATACCCAATGATCTCCTCCATGTTGCCATGGTTTCCATATTGCTACACTCTTCTGTATGTTTGCTTATATGATTTTCCCTCCGAAAGTTCCCATGGTGCACGGTGCTACGCCAGCCACTGTGTCCGCAGCAACAACATCTGCCACAAGTGTTCCCTTCGCTGCAACAGCCACAGCCAACCAGGTTTGCTAATTTACAGCTTTGTTTCTTAAAACCAACTCTGATAGGGCTCAGTCCAATAGCCTTTATGCACACGGACTTCCCACTGAGGTCAGTGGGGATTGCGTGTACGTGAGGGCTGTAGAGGGTGCTTTAATGAGCATGGGGTTTCAAAGATACCTCTTGTTGGCCTACACATTCTCCTATTATGAGCAGCAGAATGCTTTTATGCCATTTATAAGTGCTCCAAAGTTGTCACAGCTCCATTTCTGAAGCTACTAAAATAATATTTACACAAGCAATTCTCATTTATTCTCAACCAATTGTGTGGATATTTGACTAATCAAAATGGAGATAATGCTAAGGTTTTATTAAAAGTATTTGGTGCATACAATACCTCAGATCTTAACTAAATTACTAATAAAAAGGAAAATATTTAAGTGTATTCCTATGCCACAAATGACCACTCTTGTAAAGAGTTTGTTAAAATTATTATAATTTGATTTCTTTGATAAACAGATTGCATATTTAAAATTAAGTTTGTGTATGGCATTTGTAAGTGATTATCAATGCTTTAAGTGAAAAAGTTGCCCATTGCTCTTGTTTCTATAATTACTCTGCATAAATGTTGACAATTTATGCAGGAAAGAAAGAAATCAGATTTGGAAAATTAAAAGTCATTCTGTGTTCCATACAAGTTTATGGGGTAACAATTCTGCAGGATACTTTGAAGTAGAAGGGAATCTATTTAAGAAATTTAAATTTTATGATGTACAAGAGTGACTAAGATGAAATGATTATTTAAAATATTTAAAATTCAAAAGTTAACATTGATTCCACTAGCATTTCAAATTCTGTTTAAAAATAAGTCCTAGAAAATCCTGGTTGAATTAAAGTCACATTTATGTAAAGTAAGTTTGGGCTTGAATAAATAGGTAATGTTTGTTATGCAAGCAAAGTTCTGTAGGGTTGATAGTGTCTGAAAGAACTGTCCAAATTTCAGATAACCCACTGACTAAGGTTAAATAGAGCCAAATGAGTCTCAAAGGAACCTCCTTGTTTCTTCAGTACGTCAGGTACTATTGATGAAATTTAAGCTCTTACTACAGCCAGTGAACACTTTCAAAAGCATAATGCCAAAATGGATTTATTTTAGAGTTTCAGGCAAGCTTTAAACATTTCTTGGCAAAGAAATGCTAGTTTTTCAGAGCTCGTCAGAGTAGTCCTGGATTTACGCTAACACATCAGACTCATTTACAAGACTGTGAGTGTGTGCATATGTGGCATGTTAGTGAGTGATCTTCAGCAGGAAGTCTCAGTGGTTTCGGTGCAGATCGGTGATGCTGAACTCTCACATGTGTACCATGTATAGAATTGCTGGTGTAAGCAAAACTACAGCAAAGCAAACTTTGACATGCCCTCAGCCACCTGGGTTGTAAGGGACCCTTTACTTTTTTGCATTGTGCTGTGACCATTTCATGCGTAATCCTGGGTCTTCATACCGTTTTACAACCAAACGAAAGAAAAGGGAATGGATATACATATATACACACATATATTATATCTACATATACATACGTATGTATATGCCTACAGTACATTAGCAGTGCTGGGAATAGCTGATGCCACAAAATGCAGCCGCATGCATGCAGAAGGTTATAGCTGGCCCTTCATCTGCATTGGTTGGTGTTGAAGGTCCGTGGTATGTTTCGACAGCCCCATCCTTGATGCTTCTACACTGTTGGGTGCAACATCCTGTCCTGCAGCAGCAGGAAAAATGGTATGAGAAGCTTCATTATGCTTGGAGCACATTTTCGTGCCATTTGCAATGCTGTAAAATTGTGTAAAAATGTCAGATGAAAAGTGGAAATAAAACAGGGAGGACATATTAATATACACTCCAGACTGGATTATACTATGTTGAATTAGTCTAGGATGTCTAAATCGAAATAACAAAATGCCTTCATGTATGTAATTGTATTATTACCCCGTCAACCATGCTGAAATAGTGACATTTTGTAGCAAAAACTTAAACATAGGTTGCTCCTCTCAGTCACACAGACAGGAAAAGGAAACATATCAGAGCCCATGCTTTGGTCTTCTGATAATGTTCATCTCCTAATCTACCTTTCCCAAGTTAGCAGCCATTACTTTGGATTATGGGAAAATCAGTTTATAAATTTGAGTTCTTGGCTTTTGGGACTATTAAGATAAGTCATCTCTATATCAGTTTCTTAATGTATTTTTTCTCAAGTTCTCTAATTCTCTTGCCCATTTAAAGTACAATAAGATGTATAATCAGGGTTCTTTTGAATTACCATTTTAACATTCTTACCAGTATCTTTAATTGGTGGTGGAGAGTTGTTAGACACCCTAATCTGAATGAAAAGATGAGAAATTTTGTTGTATAAAAATAGACAAGATGTGCCCTACTCTGATTCCTGTATTATTACTAAATAACAGAAACCAAGGAGTGAGTGTGTGTGTGTGTGTGTGTGTGTGTGTGTGTGTGTGTGTGTGTGTGTGTGTGTAGGCCAACAAAAAGGGCTTCTTTCAATTACTGCTCTGCATGAATTTTTGTAGTTTTTCTTCTCTTCCTAAAAACTGGTAACATTTATAGACAATGCTTAACACAGAGATTAAAGAAGTGAGTTGCTATTCTGGCATTTATGTTTACATTTACTTACTGTTCCATTGACCAGATAAGGACTGTCACCTCACAGCTGAATCTCTTCCTTTAAAAATTTAATATTAAGATGTTTTCTTCTCTTGGTTCCTGGCTTGCTTGCATGGATCATTCATTAAATAATTTTTTATTTGTTAGATACCCATAATATCTGCCGAACATCTGACTAGCCACAAGTATGTTACCCAGATGTAGAGTTGCCGTCACTACACAGTAAGTTCATTATGTAATATACACTTGTGTACTTGTGCTGGTTTTTTAAAAATAGCAATTGTGTAGTACACTTAAAATTCTGCAAAACTTCAGAAAAATACTTAGAGCCCACACTTTTTGATGGGTTATAAAGAATTTCTTTGTACAAATTTATAATTAGTATGTTAATATTACTTAAAATACAAAATTCTGAAGGATAATAAATTTTGGAGTTTTTATTTCAAATTATAAATAAACATGAGCATGAAAAAAAAAATGACTTAATTCAATTAGAAGGTTTAGGTTATGAGGAGTTGGCACCTTTTTTATTTTCCTTTTTGGGTGCTAGGATTGAACCCAAGGTCTCTTGCATGCTAAGCAAGCACTCTCCACTGAGCTACATCCCACCCCCAGACAAATAATTAACACTTTCTATGAACTCTTCTTTGTTGTTGTTTGGGTTTTTTTGGTGATGCTGGTGTTTGAACTCAGAGCCTTGTGCTGCCAGAGACTGAATATTTTTGGCTGTGTGGGCCATGTAGTTTCTGTTACAACTACTTACCTCTGTCACTGTAGTATGAAAGCTACTAAGAAATGTGTAAACAAATGGATGTGACTGTGTTCCAGTAAAACTTTTGTTTTACAAAATAGACACTAGCCTGGATTTGACCCACAGGTAGCAGTTTGGTGACCCCTGGCATAGAACATCATTAATCTTATTTTTTCTGTATTTGGCTAAGTCTTAAATGAGAATATATACCCATCTCATCCCATCCATCACCGTACACAATTATTAGAATGCACTTATGTATACACACCCATGTATATGTATACACACACACACACATGCACTCAGTCTATGATGCAGTCAGGAATTCAGCTATTAAAATTAATGTTTGTCCATTTCATGATCTTTCTCAAAGCAGTTTTGATAAAAAGGTTCATGAACAATAGTCAGGTGGTTAGAATAAGCACATTGGTCTGTAGTTTGTACATTTAGAAGAGGAGTTCTTTTGGCATATTAAAACATGTTTCCAGCACTTCTAGTTAATTGGGGGTGTTTGGTATGTATAAATGCAGCTATGTTTTATTTCTTAGCAGTAGCCCAGGTTGAAAAAATAATACCCTAAGCCCATCAATAAATAGTAAACCAGTGGATTAATCTGTATGGAAGCTTCAGCTCCTAATGCTCTGTTTATTTTTAAAATACCTATTTTCATGTGAAGTTAAAATATTAAAACTTTTTAAAGTCAAAAAAATGGTGATTTCTTTCATTTTCTAAGTTGTAGTCTAAGGCATACTTTTAATATGTAAAGATTCCCTGATGGAAATAAATTTCATATAAAAACAAACATTTAACACTTAGGTACATTGCAATGTCTATTAAATTTTAATTCATTTGAGAATAATTTCTTAATTCATAAGCAATAATTTTTTTCTTGACTTTAAGGGAAAGAAAGCCTACAAGCTTTGGATGATCTAAAACAGTCACTAGAAGTTCCTGTTTTTCAAATATATGCTATGTGAATCAAGCACTCACGTAGAACAGCATTTATTCCATGCATGTTAACTTCATAGGCCAAATCATTCTTCAAATCTATTAAATTTGACAAAAGAAATAAAGTATGTTTATATTATGCCCTACCTGCAACAATACTGTTAAAAAAGAGCCACACTGTACTGTGCTCTGCACAATTGCTTCTTCAGCTGTCTTCTATACTTTTAACTTACTCCTGGGAAATTTTAGTCTACAGTTTTATTAAGGTGTGTGTGTCAATTCATTCACATAGACATGACAGAGAAATTTATTGATTTGCACTTGTGAAGTAGTTTTTGTTTTTACATAAAGAGGTAATAACATGGATATGAATGGATTGTTTCATCAAGAAATAAAACTGCTTTAAATAATTATATACTTTTAACAAAGATTGTCTCTTTTTCCCTTGTAGATCATTCTAAAGAGGAAAGGACAGTGTGCTTGGTTAGAGTAAAGGACGAGGTCATTAGCCATATTGTATATACCGTCAAGCAACACACACAGAAACCCCTCAGCCACAAGACATCCACATATTGCATGTTAACCAGAAGAAAAGACAACATGGAAATCCACTGCACACTGTTGCCTACACACTTTGTACATTTAATTGATATTTGTGCTGAGATGATATTCCTGTCTAAAAGAACAGCATTGTCTTTCTTTTTCTAGCACAGTTATGCATTAAAATATGCATACCTAATTAGTTTCCTATATGTTCATGCCATCTTGAAAAGACAGACTATGGTGTAACCATGATTCTATTATGTATTGGTACGTCTGTAGACCAAGATATAATTTTTTAAAATAAGTTTATTTGTTTCAAGGTTTACAAATAACAAAGGTGCACCTTGTATTTAAAATTGCCATTATAGATGAGAGCGTGCATGCACAGTCATTTTTGTTTTCAGAGTAATATTTTTAATGTAATAGATTGTAAGATGTGGTGAGGGAGGGATCTGACAGAGATGAATGTGCCAAGCAAAACCACAACTGTGTCTATTTAAAGCACATCATGGCTTTAAGTACCATGTTGTAAGGATTCTCGTGAAGTGCCATAGACTGTACATCAAATTAGAGTATTATTTCTTCAGTGTTATTGTTTTCAGAGCCACATTTTATTTTGTTGCTTATTTGCTAGTACTAACCAATCAAAGGGCACCATTCTTTTTTTTTTTTGAAACCAAAGCTGTCTCAGAAATGGCAATTTAACTTTACAGTAATAATAGACAGCACAACACAAACTCTCAATACAGATAAACTCACACTACAGGAGATATATATAATAGATATATAAAATTATTTTAATGCATTGTAGTGTAATATTTATGCATACTATACTGTATAACATGGTATTCAAAAGGGATGTGCCATTTCTGAGACACAATGACAAAAAATGTTTGAGGAAATTATTTTGCTTCTATTTATAGCCTCTGTCAAAAGTCAAAAGACTATAAATTCTTTGCAAAAATGGTTTCACGTTTGCTTAAATGCTTCATCACAGTCACGTTCAAAGTAGTGACTCTAAACAAAGAAGAAAGCAGCACTGTCACCAGATGCATGATAAACCAAAATATGAAAATGGGAAATGTTTAATTAACCTAGTAATTGGGTGGGTTAAGTACATGGGTGAATTTTATATGTGATTTTTTTTTGTTTTGTTCAGATTAACTGCTTATAGCCTTAGAAAGCCTTTTACAAAATTAAAAAATAGATGTGCATTCAGTTTTTAAGAATGGATTCATCCAAAGGAATTCCTTTTTTTGTGGTCTGGATGTTGCAGCTAGTAAAGGATATTTTTGCTCTGTTCAGCAGTTCTAAAAATTGCTGAAGTAGGGGCCAGGTCACTGGTAGTTATAGTATGGAATGGGAGAAGTGAAAGTTCAGTTGTAGAACTTTCCATACTTCCAAGTTTACTGCAAGTTTTTATGCTTGAGAGAGATGCTTTCTAATATAAGACTGATGTGTTGATTTTACTGATTGTACTGTACATCTATTAAAGCCTTAGATTACTACATTACGGGTTGGAACCCATACCAATGTAATTTCAGTCGTGTTAAGAGAGTAATGGTGACTTCACATGTTATTGTAGTTAGTTACATTATAGAATATTACTTATTTTTCTTGTTAAAATGTAGTTTTTCATTTCCTACATTTACTAGATTTTCATTTTCTATTAATAATTGAATACCATTTCAGTTTATTGACTATTGTTTTGTTAGATTTTACCAATGAATTTTTCAAAATACAAAAAAATTAAGTAGATTTTCCTTCATAACATACTCAGTTTTGAATTATATGTAGTGTCATATGAATATTCGTATTGTTAACTAAATGATTTATATTTTACTGATTTAATATTACAGTGTAAGAATGTCAGTCATTGTTAGTTCTTGTCTAGTTTTCATTAAAAGAACAAAGATCTTTTATATGGATATCTTATAAATATATAATCATTGCTAAGTAAGAAGTTAAGTTGTTGCTATCGCAACAATCCTGGCAGACAATTGAGTAATATTTTGATGATTTATTTTGTTTGTAATTAGTTATTATAAGAAGATCTAGATCCTAGATATTAGAATAAAATTTATTTTCTACTGTATCCATTTCAAATGTTAAAGTATTGTTTAATATTTTTGAAATCCCTGAATATCAGGCCTTGTTATAAATAAGCTGCATAATCAATAAATGGAACAAGGGACTTTTTGTTGATAATCCAAATACTCAAAGTTTACGTAATGAGAATTATAGCGTGTGTGCAAACTCTTGAGGGTTGATTATGCTGCAATTTAGCATGTTGGAAAGTCTAGAGAGAAGGTTGACTTTTTGCACTTCTGTATATAGTCAAAAGAGAGAAACCTGTATAATAGTAAGATCTTATTTTGAATAAAAACGTCTATAATTACAAGGAGTTTTGTTAAGGCTAATAAAATGACAGACTGAGCAAAATTGCTTGCAAAAGTGGCACAGAGTTAGCACTCCATACCCCTTCAAACATGTTGCTTTGCTTTTTGTGGACAGCTTGTAGTTTGCCAGGATTTTTTTCAGCTGGAAAGATATACCATCCTTCCGAGATCTCATGACTGACAAAAACTCCATTGGGCCAAATCTGCCTGAAGATCATTACCAAAAATAGCAGGTACTTCGACCACTAAGGTGAAATCATGGATCAGATGTTCCTTACATTTTTCAAAACTACTGCATGTTTCAACAAAAAAAAGAGAAAGAACTATACTAAGGACATATATTATTCAAATCAGTTTCTTCCAATTTCAGTGGTTTATTGTTCACAAAAAAAATCTTCAAACTAAATATTGACTTTCACAAAATTTAAACCATAAGCAGGCAAACCAAACAGCACACCGTACCTATAGTTGTTATGTGATTGTTTTTTAATTGCTGTAGGATCCTGTTCTTTCAGCAGGTGAAAAAGTAAAACACAAGTTCAAATATCATGGTTTTAATTTTCAAATCAGAATCATTCAAAGAAGCAAAATGTGATAATGGGCACTTGTTTAAGAATCAGTACATCAGCCTTCACTCCGGCTGGTTAATAATACTGCACTTATCGGCAGCCCTGCCACTTTCATCTGCTGAAAGGACATTCGTGCTTGGTTTTACTGTTATGTAATCACATCTTAATTTCTGCTTGTAGTTGCTTATAATTATGTATTTTGTCTTGGGCTGCAATTTGTTTTATGCTTATTTTATTATTACTGCAGTAGTTGACTTTGCTGTATGGAAAAATAAAGTGAAATTGCCCTAATAAAACTTCTCTTTCTTAAGTATATTTGTGTATTTGAGATTGAATAGTAAATTATTTTTGCAAATTTTATGTATTCATGAATGTACTTCTTTACAAACATTCTGCTGAGTAAATTCATCGTCTGGTTTTAAGAGATTGTAAGGAAGGCATTTACTTTCTCACTGGTTACCTTTTAATACTGAAAATCCGAATCCAGATATCTTTCCATCCTGTGGTCAGTGTTTCCTGAAAAATCTTGTCCTCTTCTCCCTTGATACTTTAAATGCTGATTGAAATGATGTGGGGGGAAAATTTGATAGCATCAATTCTGGATCACTGTCTTTCTATTAATGAGGTGGGGTTTTTTGCCTGACGGATCTAATTGCCTATTACTAGGAATCAGGCAATCTAAGAAGCTGCTTCAGTAATGATGTAGATGATAGCTCCTGAGTGAAGGCATTCAAGAGTATGTATACACTCAGCTGAGCTGAGCCAGGCCATGGCAATTCCTGAGCTTGTGTGCGTGTTCATGTCTGTGTGCTTGGATTTATTAAACAATAAACTGGAGGTGTTAAAAGTGTACAGCCTTTGCACATTGCAGTTTCTATAGATAGCCGATGAAGGCCCAAGGTCTAGTATGAGAAAATTTGTATCTTTGATCACTGAGTGCCACTTCATGTTGGCTTTGGCATTTGGCATTTGGTCAAAGACTGCAAATTCTCCTTTAAAAATTATCTTTCTTTGCTAAAGTATATTACAAGAATAAGAAATGTTTTATTTATGATTGATACAATTTATAATTAACACATTTCTGTTGCTGGTCGAGTTCATGAGTCCCTTCTGTTCTCACCACCAGCTCCAACTATGCTAAATGTCATTTATCAAAAAGAGAATGGCTTCCCCAGGGATAACTGTCTAAAACAGAGGTTCACAACTTTTTGAGTAACGTAAATACATCTGGTTCTCTCAAATTAGTAATGGTATTTTGGTATCTTCTAATTGAGGAAGAATACTATCACAAAAATTCACTGTAATGTTTTCAGTACTCTAAATGAAATTGTATTTTATTAATTACATCAGCCAATGAATGCATGCATCTGAGAAATGATGGGTGTGAAATACTTACTTTTGCTTCATACAATACTGTTCAAAAAACAATTCAGGTTATAATACATATAAACATGGAAATGTCACATGCCAACTCTCTGTGCATTTTTTATAATTTACAAAATCAGAGAATGGGAATGGAACAGGTTCTGCCTAGGGACCAGTGCAGGGGAGGATAAGAGGAAAAGGTGTGGGAGGGTGAATATGGTGCAAATATTGCATACACATGTATTTAAATGGAAAATGATACCCGTTGAAACTATTCCAGGAATGGGGGACGGGAATAAAGGAGAGTGGTGGAGTGGGTGAACTCAACTATGATATATTTGCTATATTGTAAGAAATTTTGTAAATGTCACAATGTACCCCCACCCAGCACAATAAAAAAAAAAAGTAAATTGTTAATTGTTATGGAGTGCACTAGGGGTCCTCAGCTCACAGGATGGAACCCTCTGCTAGAAGTTTTTGGGTGGGGTTTTCTCACTTAGGAGAACAAAGAAATTTGCTGGAATGACTACTTCATCACAAACCCCAGGTACACACAAAGTTCATACTTTGACATGGTCCTGAAATCAGTAACATGCAATAATCTGTAACTTTACTGAGACACACTCTGGAATAGTAACTTCCTTCAAAGAGCTAACCAGTCACTTAGGTAAGCAAATCTGCAGAACCCAGCAATAAGATTTTGTTTTCTTTCTACTTCTTATAACTCCACTTGCTAAAGAGCCTGAGGCAATCACTTTAATATTTGAGTTTGTCCCCTATATGTTATGAAGAAAAATATTGTTACAATATTGTTCAAAAAACTTTTGAAAGCCTAACACATACCCATCTTACATGTTAAATCAATGTGAGTAAATGCCCTGTATAGCTATCCTTATCTCAACCAGCAAAAACCCTTGTTCCTTCCTATTATTGCTTATACTCTCTCTACAACAAAATTAGAAATAAGGGCAAAATAGTTTCTGCTGGGTATTGAGGGGGGAGAGGGAGGGGGCGGAGTGGGTGGTAAGGGAGGGGGTGGGGGCAGGGGGGAGAAATGAACCAAGCCCTGTATGCACATATGAATAATAAAAGAAAAATGAAAAAAAAAATGAAAGCCTAACACATACCCATCTTACATGTTAAAGATCCATTGTGCTGACATCATGAAATGGACCAAAAATGTGACGTTTAGAGATTCAAATAGCAAAGGGTTTCCTTTGTACTCTCTTGGTCTGTCAGAAAAGCCTTATTGAAAAGACTTTCATGTGGCCTCTGAGCCACTGCCATCCTTTGCCCAGCCTCCGATACTGTCCCTCATTTGGTGCTCAGCCCCCACTTGTCTGGAAAGGGCCTTGACACCAGCAGCACTTTGGGTGGGTGGTAAGTCTTGAGCAATCTCTATCTAGACTGGCTGCTGATGGCCATAGTGGGCCACAGTCCCCCTTTGAACTTCTTAGGAGGTGGATTCTTACGTTGCCAAAGGGCCCCATGTACTCTGAGCACCAGGAGAGCACTGTCCAGAGATGTGCCAGGCTGTCCTGGACCTGGGGCTCAGGAACTCTTCCTGGTCCTGCTGCCAGACTTCCCTAGTGATGTCCGCACATGCCTGGGACATTTCATCCTCAGCTGTGCTGTCCTGCTCACCCAAAGGGGGCTGAAGGACCAAAAGGAAAAGCCAACTCCTTATCTTCTGCCTCTTTCAAGGAATTGGACTCCCATCTCACCACCCAAGACTTCCTTTTATTGAATAAGCTTTTTATTCATGTATTTTTTTACTTATTAATCACAAAAAAATGACCATTTTTCTAATTTCTGGAAAAAAGCAGTAACAGGTTCGAACACAGATAAAATCTGTTACTTTAGTGAATTTGTTAGGTCCTTTTGAGATGATACTGAATCACAGGTCTCAGTTACTTTTTCTGCTCCTAGTTATGTTTCATAATTACAAAACCTAGAATTTCCATTCTTAGCATAAGGCATAAATATGAAACTTTATTCATAGCACTTGGGAGCCACCAGATTGGTATGTAAATTTTAACTGCCACTTTTGGTCACATTCACCTCAGTGGGCACCTGAAATGGTGAATGTTTGAACTTGAACTGAGAAGAGCTCAGTAGTGGGGTCGAGCTGCATCATTTGGCTGCCCTATGTGATATACTGCCACGGGCACAACTTCATTCAGAGAAGTTCTCATTGCTGCAGCTGCTGACTCTGCAATGGACCTCCTGGACATAAAAAAGCAGCCACAGCAGAAAACATGTTCTCCATGGGAGAGTCCCACATCTGTGTAACTTTGCAGGCTCAGGTCACTCTTTGTAAATCTGCTCTAGCACTAGATATACAGGTTCTATAAGGAGTTTACATATTAAGTAATATCCCCAAGTACTTGGATCAGAAGGGTAGTGAACAAAATTGTCTGTACAGACAGGACATGTCCTCAGAAGAAAGCCACAGTCATAATGGACTTAGACACCAGCAGTCATCATGATGCTCAGTCTGGAAACAAGTGGGCAGTCTGCAGTAGAAGTACATACTTGAACTTAGAACAGTGAAGTTACAGAGAACCAAAGGACCTATGCAGATCTCTATGATCCATTTAGAAAGGCGTGCAGTACATTGAACTGGAAGAGATTACAAACCTCTTGACTATACTGATGCAATGAGAGAATGGCAAAGCTACAAGAACACTTAGACCTCTGAGTTCCTGTAGTGTAACATGACTTCCAGCTTAGGATGAAGGTAAGTGAGCTATATAAAGCCAGAGCCTGCAGCAAAGAGGGAAGAAAACAAATCTTAGCAATTCACATCCAAGAGTCAGACATCTGAGCCCTCCCAAGGGACTTTGGTAAAAAGAAGCTCAGGTTGGCCTTTTTTTTTTTTTTAAAACCACTGGGCCTCTTGCTCTCTCAAGTCCAAGGACTCCCAGATTTCTGAACATAGATGTTAAGTACTAATGTCTGGAGGGTTGAGCAGCATGACAGAAAGAAGGGCTGATTTTAACAGCATGTACATGGAGATGGTTTTTTTTTTTTGGTAACACTGGGATTTGAACTCAGGGCCTCATGCTTGGTAGGCAGGCACGCTACAACTTGAACCATTCCACCAGCATCAATAGCTTGTAAGTGGGAAGGATGCACAGGACCCGGAGAGGACAACTGTGGTAAACTAAAACCATGTAGAGATAACCTCTTAAACTGATCTTTTTAAAATGTGCACTGGCCAGGCACTGGTGGCTTAAGCCTATAATCCTAGCTGCTCTGGAGGCAGAGATCAGGAGGATTGTAGTTCAAGGTGACAAAAATAAGACCCTATCTCCAAAATACCCAACACACAAAAGGGCTGGCTGAGTGACTCACATGGTAGAACGTCTGCCTAGCAAGCATGAGGCCCTGAGTTCAAACCCCATATCACCCACACATACACACAAAAAAAGTGCACAGAAAAATCTTAAACATGTTGCAAGGGTTAAGATCAACAGCTTTGCAATTGGAACACCTGGCTTTATAACTCTTCAGCTCTTTGACTTTGGCAAGTTACTTCACTTCTCTGACTCAGGTTCCACTTTAGTAAACTAGGAGCAACAATACCTACCCTGCAGGGTTGTTGAGTACTTCCAGACTTGACTGCAAATAGGAATAATTTCAATGATCTTTAAAAAGCATGTGCACTTCATTCCTACCTGTAGGTGCTGATTAATTACCATGGACGAAACCACTGGGTTAGTGTCCAAGACACCTTGCACATAGTCCCCTTCTTAATGGCAGTCTCAACAGGTTTGAATAATGCTAAGCGTGATGCCTATTCCATTTTATCTATTTTGCACATCACCCCACTTAATCTTTAACTTTTCTCCCCGCTTCTCAGACTATACATCCCTCTCAAAGCAGCTGTGTTGTCTGTAGTTCTGTCTTTCCTGTTCAGTAGTGAAACTTTATCTTCCTGTAACT